CAGTGTTATTTTTCTGCTTTTATTTTTTCTCTTGCATTGTCATCAGGGCAATTTTATTTTCTTTCTATAATTCTCTCAGGAACTCTCTGAAACCATGTGAATACAGTAACTTTGCTAAAGTTAACTCTTACATGAAGTTGTGCAAGTAATGACTAATTACTAATCACAAATTTTACAGACAGTTGACGTAATAGAACCTTTGAGATGACGTAAGGTAAAGCCAGAGCAGTACTTGGTCAGCATACAATGCTTTTCTGGGTCCTAGTGTTTTTTGTGTCTGTGCTTTGTAGAAGCAGCAGAAAGTCATGCATGGTAGGTAGGGTAATCATAGTGCCAGATGGTCTGAAGGGACAGTTTCTTTCATGTTGTATGTCTTTCTATGCTTTAGTATTTGTGAATGTCTACAGTTGTGTTAGTGTGGAACTTAAAGGGGTGCAGCTAAATCCATTTAGAAGTCATTTGAGGATTTTGGGGAAGACCAGTTTTGAAGGGCAAATGTGAGCATTTCTGATGAATTTTGCTGAAACTGAAGTAAGAGCATTCTAGTTGCCTTTTTGTCCAGCAAAAGGATAGACTTTTCAGAGTTCAGGAGGCAACTTGGTAAAATCCATTTGTGAAATCTTCCTTGATAAATAATTTTGAATAACTAATGAATTTGCAGAAAGAAATAGCATGCATTCAAGGGGAACTGGAGACAAACAAACAAATTGGGCAATATTCATTACAACTAATCTGTCCTGCTGCAGTGGTGTCACTGATATTTACCAAGGCAAGTGGACATGGAGGAGTGATTGAAAATATGGAAAGAGACAATTCAGAACAATTCCTGTCATAATCATCAAATACTTACTGCGTGTTGATGTAGCGTGTATATAGCTGCATCCTTCTAAAATCGCGTGTATCTATAAAATACTATTACAGTGTGCTTGCTGCGAAGTCATCACGGATACATGGAGTGATTAAATCAGTATCAGTCTTACCAGTTCACAAAAGTGTATGACTTCTGGCTGACAGCATAAATGATTTAGGAGAGTCCCATCAATTTTGTTCCATGACTTTAATTTCTCTTCTGTATTTTGTTGCTGCAGTAGTTGTTGAGTCATGTTTTTAAAAAGGACTTCTGGTAAAGTTGCCATAGAAGCACTAAGGTAAATGTCACTGAGAATTTCAGTGGCCAATTCTAATCTAAAAAAGCCTTCCAGGCCCTTTCCAGGATCCTGCACAGTTGTGGTTTTATGGGTATTGTTTTGCTTCTTAAGACCAAGTACTGCTTCATAAAACTGGGTCACTGGCATATTTTGATTTCATCTGGATGGTTGCTGATCACTGGGCTAAGGAGGAATAATAAATATAAAGAGGTTTTTATATCACAGAGGGATATAAACTCTCACAATAACTCCTTTCTGCTTCTGAGTACTGCATCTTATGGCAGAGGCTCAGCAGCACGGACATCCTGATTTCTGTCTTCAGTTCTGGTATGTGTATTTGCATACATGTTGAAAAGAAGCTGCAAGAGGGAGTGGCTGTGGCATTCTTGTAAAGAGAACGAAAGTTGCGGAAATACACTACAATATTCTGCTACAAATGTCTTCTGCTCCTGACACAAAATACAGTAAGCAAAGGCCAGACTAGTTGTTTGATTCTCTACTCCCATCAATGTAAGACACTGTACCTTCAATTTTGCTACTCCATTAATAATCTGTGTGGTAGGAGGCCTCTGGTGTTAACACTATGCATGTGCTGTTTCTGAACATAGGGTTGGTAGTACAGTGTGAGGTACAGTGTAGTTTTATGGATGTAGCTTCATTTAATTTAAAGACAGCAGCTGATTAATCCTGCACAAGATGGGATGAGAAAGACAAGAGTACCAACATAACCCTAGAATCTTTTGAAAAAATATATGTAGGTCCTTAAATATCCAACCCTAATTCAGTGACCTGTGATTTAGAAGAGAATCAGGAAAACATTTGCTCAAGTAACGAGTATTTTATGTTAGTATCAAGTAACAAGTAATTTTCCTACTGTTTGCTTGCTTCCTAGGAAACAAGGTTATTAATAAGCATCTTGCTGGTGAAATTTAAAGGAAAAAAAAGAATATTTCAGAACACAGATTTCATGTTTGTATTTTGTATTACTAAAAATCATATGTGTTAACCTAGATTGTGCTGAATTTATCTGCCTTGGAAGATTGATAAACTCTGTCCATCTGGCTGTGGCTAGTGCAATTTCTATTTCATGTGAGACTCGTTTGAAGGACAGTGTGTATAGTCATGCTGTTTGAAGAAGTGACAGTCTTCAACAGCTATTTCTGCATATGCACGGTGTCTGCTTCTATCTAAAATATAAAGCTGTTCTGGAGTAGTTTTATTGGTTGTTGTTTTGGTGAGTAGTCTGTAGCTCTGAAGGACAACTGCTGAAGTGCTAGGAATTTATGAAATGCAGCATACATTGCCAACTGTCAGTCCAACTATTAAAAATAAATGGAATTTGAAATGAGAGACTATGAAGAGGCTACATTTTGTGATGTTTGAAGTACAGCCAGGCTCCAGCTTCAAGCCTACCCAACGTTAATGGAATTGTGGTAGGAATTTTGTAAATGGTGGCACCTTGAGATACTGAACTTGTTTGTTCAGCTGTATGTACTTGGAAATCAGTGTCTAAATGCTACGAATCTGCTGTAGTCTTGACATTTAATTGAGATCTGATGAACTCAACCATCAGACTTATTTTGTGATACATGATATCATCAGAACCATTCCAAAACTCTGTGGGGCAGTAAACCCTTTAGCACAGAAATCTCACGTTTGTCTGTATGTTGCAGTGGTACAGAGTGAAAGGAGGGCAGATTTTAAGTCTGCAATTTGTTTTTATTTTTTGTTTTTTCCTAGTTTTAATATTTCTGATGGTGTTGATAAAGTCAGTGTTGTTTCAACGTGAAGTTGTTGCTAAGGAGAATGTCTGTAACATTTTTTTAAATGTGAGTTATTAATTGACTGAACATGCATTCGGGGAGTTCTTTAATGATGTATTATTTATACGTAGTTTGTAGCATCTGATGATCAGCTAAATCTGTGCATTATTGTGACTATTTGTGAACTTTGACCTTACTCTGTTTCAAATATATTTTGAAAAAGAAATTGTGTGCATACATTGGAGGATACTCAGAGCACTACATTAAGTTTAACTTAACTTCTGGAAATACTGAATACAGCTGAGACATTACACTTTGTAAAGGAAACCCTTTGCAAGACAGAAACATGTACGTACACAGAAATGCCCCTGGCATCAGTAAATCTATATTTCTTCGTGCTGCTAGTAAGTTTCTGTATATTGAAATGAATGTCAACATTTCAGCTGGAAACAGTTTTTACGGTGTCCTGAAATACTTCAGTTGTTTAAAATGTGAATCTGAGCTGTATGGTACTGTTGTAATATAGTAAGTTGTACCTTCAGTGGGTTAATCACATGGTGGAAGCAGAGTGCTGCAATGTTGATAATCTAAGCTGTGGAATTGCGTCAAGTGGGAGAAAAATGTAGAGAATATACAGTGATTGTTGATGATGTGCTTATGGTGAAGGTATTAAATAGCATTACCTCCATAGAACATAGGAAAACATCAGCTGTCTAATGAGGAGGGTCATTAAATGAGAGTTTAAGCTTTCCTTTAACAACAAAAAGAGGTCATGTGTTCATGATATGTTAGATACGGTATTAGACGAGAACTTGCAAAACATTATTTTTGTATGCATTTCTACCATTGACGTGTGGTATTTCCTCATTACTGGCCTGCTTCCTCCACCTTTCTAGACCTGATCCTCGCTTTTCCTTTTTTTCTGTTTAATTTTTAAGTTCTTGAATACCTGCTTGTGTTCTGGCATATAGTTGATATGGCAGTTACCTTCGATTTTCCTTGGGACTACTAAATTCTGTTAACAGAATTTTCTCTGGTATATTGCCTTATGGTGATCCAGATACTGGAACCTAGCTGGCATGTAATGCAAATGGTTACATGGCATTACTAATGGTATGACCAGAAATCAGTGCTTTTTATGTAGTAACCTGTGTAATAATATTATTGTGCTTATGCTATTCTTTGTTTTTGTATCTTGGCAAGATTCTTTGCTTTGATAGTTAAAGCTGTATACAATCTATGTAAATGAGTCCAGATCAAATGGAAATTGGAATATACTATTCCTGCATGCAGGCAGCTTTTAAGAAACAGTATAAATTTCAGGAGGGCTTTTAATAACTAAAGGATCTGCAGAAACTTTTTTCTCTCTTCTGTGCAAGATATATCTGTTGTCTTTCACGTAAGAATCGTGTACAGAATGAACATCTTATAACAATGAGTTTTTTTGGGTATAAAACAGGGCTGCCATTATGAGGAGTGCAGTCATCTGGACCAGAATAATTTGTCTTAAACCAAAGAGCTGTATTCCCATTTCCCTTGCAGTTCCCCCCCACCGCCCACCCCGGCCACACACTGTTGCAAGAGGTGTAAATACTAGAAGTCCAACAGCTGAGGGATCATAAAACTTTCTTTTTTCTTGAAGAAGATATGGTCACCTCCCTCTCCCCACTCTAAACATCCTTTTTAACTTAGGTGGTTGGCATTCATACCTGTTTTCATTTCTTATGCAGCCTCCTAAAATCGTAAACTTCGTCATGGACTATGATTAACATTAGAGCTGCCAACAAACTTGATATGTATTGTGGGTTACTCCAGTGGCATGCTTTTGAATACACCATGAATAGAAGTACAAAAAATTTACTTAAGCTAAAAATTTTTTTCTAAAATAACTATATTGAAGTAGAGAAGCAGGAAGGGTAAACATCATTGAGAAGAATTCAGATATACTATGCTGAATATTCAAAGTCCATATCTAACTTGCTAAATTTAAAAATACGCAGAAAGAGGAATATCTTCATTTGTAATACATTTTTCAAACCTGTTATAGAACATGTTCCAAGTGTGTTAGAATGGTATCTTTCTTTTTCAGACAAGAGCAGGTCAGTGTTCTGTATCAGAACATACACATAGCAGAACCAAGATTAATCCAGCCGTACGAACATGTCATTAAGAACTTCATCCGGGAGATCAAACTTCAAAGCACAGAAATGGAAACTTTGGCCATCGCGGTAAAAAGGTATAGTAAATTGTGTTCCTAGTTCAGTTATGCAATTACTTTTGTGTCTGTCACACTTGGGTGGGTTAAACTACTGGGAGTTAGTGCCAAAATATATCATGCGGAGTATTTCCATAAACTGAGTTCAAAGGTTAGTTTATGTGCATACACATGTGCGAAAGCAGCTTGCAGATGATCCCCTGTTCATATTTTGGATAAGTCCAGGACCAAATTTTTGCAAACTCTGTTCTTATCTTTAATGTCTTAAAACATTTTGACTCCTCTTCCTTGGCTGTAACTTTGAGTTATAGCATACACGCCCATTATACTTTCATTTTAGAAAAGATGTTTTTGCTTCTTTGTTTTCAGGGAGAGTATTTACCTATTGTAACTACTCGACATTTACAATCTCACATCATTACTGCCAGAGCGAAACAGATTAGCTCAGGACAGAGATCTTGTATCTGTGGGAGATGCAAGTGTCTGTAGTTACCCCTTTGAAGTCTTTTCATAGCATAACCAGAGGGGCCTTTTGTCTCTGTAACTTAATTTTCAAAATGCAGATGTGAAGTATTTCATGTTAAATAATCAGCTGCCAACTTTTATTTAAAATCTAATTTGCCTGTATCTTCAAATTAACTTGTGATTTTGGTTCCCAGCCATATCAGTTTCAAGGTCTGGGCAATATTAAACAGTTTCCATGTCTGTCTGTCTAACCTGTTTCAATTGAGGTAGGCAGATGTGTTTCACACAAAGTTTCTGTCAAGCCAGAGGGCAATTCCTAAGAGAGTATTTACTTTTAAATTTTAGAGCTCAGGATAAAGCTGCAGTTCAGCTCAGTGAGCTGGAGGAAGAGATGGAACAACGGATACAGGCTGCAGAGCATAAAGTTAAAAAGGAAGTGAGTATTTTATGTTTACAGAATTTCATAATTACCAAACTCTCAGAGGTCTTAAGCAGGATTGATGGCCAGGTGTGTTTTTGATCCTGATGGGCTGACTAAAAGCCACCAAAGGCAGGGCCAGGATGAAAAGAAGCTGTGCATGAGCATACATTGAAAATGTATTCGCTTAATGCTTTACCAAAGAGGAATGGCTGCTCTGATGTAATAAGCCAAGAAAAAAAAATGCTGACCTAGACGAGTTTATTTCTGAGGCCAGTGTTCGAAACGGATTGGAGAAAATGATCTTTCACCATAAAAGAAAGGAATCTAGTTCTCCTAGTAGATGAATTTATGTAGAAATTAATGCTTGGATCATTTGTTCTTAATTTGTATGTCTGCCCAGAGCGGTGATCTTTCTTTCCCCCATTCTCATGCTGCACCTGTATTTTAGAGAGTTATAGACATAAGAGAGGGTAATTATGATGACAGTGTGAGGGTCTGGACCTCCCAAAGTTGATGGGCAATTCGGTTTCAATGTGCTCAAGTTTTAACTTGTTTCAACTGGTTTGTAGTCTTGGTGGAAAAGTACAGAAATCCTCTTCCCCTTACTCACTGAAAGATGTTATTAGAGCCACATGTGGCTGTGTAATTCTAAGCAGAAAGCAGTACATTAAGACCATTCTACCGGTGTTGTCAGCTTCATGTTGAACTGTTACTAAACTCACATAAAAAAGCCTGACTTTAGAATTTGCATAAGAATAACAGTTTGTGGAATTGTTCTAATGTGGACGTAAGACATGCAGTAATTAAAACATATGCTATGGGCATAATTACTGCTTTGTAGGACACACCGTATACTGAACATCTGTACATTTGGTATGGGTTCTTTCACCAAAGCATTTGCAGAATCAGAAGCAACAAAGTGTATTCTGCCAACTTGCTGGTTTTAAATAGTTCATGGTAATTGATCTGTGAAGGTAATTGGTATTCTGATAGATTTGCTTCAAACAGCATCTTTTTCTGTACAAGTAGAAACACTTCTACCGAACCATACAAGTCAGTTGTTTTCCTAGAAACAATATATCATGACATAAAAATGTTGAAGATATCACCCCACCAAAAAAAGCGTATCATTATGTGGTTTTACTAATGATAATGCAACTCTCAGTAGAGAGAAACTTTCCATTTCCCAAGAGACTAAGCATTTATGTTTAAAAAACAAATACATTTGCTCTGGAAGGTTTCTGTTCTGCAAAAAGGGGTAAGTCACTGAAAAAAGCCCTGAAGACTCTTACTCACTACTGTCAAAAGACGACTGGGATGTGTGTATTCGCTCACTCAAAGAACATCCACAGTTATGTACCAGCATTATGTGGAAACACATCTGCTATGTATTGTCCACATCTAGTCTGTGTTTCTCATTCTAAAAAGTCCTTAAACTGTTACTGAGTTGCATGGAGTGCGATTTCACTGTTCGCTCCTAGCTATAGATGGGAAAAGTGGGCTGTCACTTGTTTCTCACAGCGCTTTTTTTGCTTTTTTTGTTTTCACTCCTAAATGTTCCCTTCAGCCTGTAGCTCTGCATACTCCACCTACTAAAATGCCCTGAGAGTAAATGTAAGATATTTACTTTGTGGGATTGTACTAAGGCATTAATCTTAATGCCTGCACTCAAGGCCATTGTTTGTCAGAGTGATCTCACTCATGCCACTGTGACACCTGCTTGTGCATGATAGTATCTGCAGGTTGAGCCTATCCTACATTTTATTTCTTCAGGGGAAGCAAATAGTTACCAAACGGTACTCAGGAGTCCTATATAGTTGCCAACAGTAAGAGAATCCATTTTAAGCTGATTACTTTGATCGTCGTTTTAACACACGGATGATCATTTAAGACACGGATGTCAGCATCACCTACAGGAAAGCATTGAATTCTGAGCAAAGTCTGTGTCTGCCTTTTCCATGTGAAAACTAAACCTGTTTCATTGGCACCACATGTCACTGCTGCATTCTGGGCTCTTGGATTGTGAAACTGTGCACTGAAGTCCCTGGGGTGTGACTGGAGTGAGTTAAACACGTACTTACCTATAGCACGCGGAACATATGGCTCTTCTCATTGTGCTTGATGTAGCTTCCTTTCAAAATCTCTCTGTTTTGATTAAAATGAAACTTGGAATCGTGTACTTGGTTTGATATTCAGACCAAGTATCATATGAAACTGAAGATGCTGTCATCAGCATACCTTTTACTGAACATAGGCTTGTAACATTCCAACACTTGCAAATGAAAAAATGTAAAAGAAACCCAGGAATAAATAACTAATGGTGGCACGGTAATGCTGTTACTAGCATAGTGTATGGCGAGCCATAGAAAGCTGGTTTGAAAAAGAGTGTGTGGTGCCCTAATGTGTGTGTGGATGTGTATGTGTACCTCTATATAGACAATACACACCTAAATTTATCTACAAATAAAATTCGAACACTTCTCTCTCATTTTTTTTAAGACATTGAGAATGTTAAGAACAGGAGATCATGACATGAATTACAAACACTGAATTGACCCATATATTTACTTCCACCTTACTACTTTATTTCTATGAATATTTTATGAATGGACTACAATTACAGAATCACAGAATCACAGAATGTTAGGGGTTGGAAGGGACCTCTGTGGGTCATCTAGTCCAACCCCCCTGCC